CAAATGATGGCACAATGCTTCAACAAGGAGGAAAAACAAGTCTTCAAGCTCAGTTTTAAGGGAAGCATTTCTTCCCACACGAGAAAGGAACATCTCTTCCAATGTAATACCTACAATCTACCATTTTTATAAGTGGCATTTAAAAAAAACCCTACATCTTATCAACTATCTGGTCAAATAGGTTTTAATTCTTCTAACTGATTAAGTGACTGAAGTTATACTAAATCTGTTCTTAGACTTTTATGGAACATAATTCATTACAAACAGGATGACGCGGACATGTATTTAGAATCAGGATGTATGCTTATGCAGGGACAAATAAGGCTAACTTAGTTTAATTGGGTTATTTCTATGCAACTGACTCTGATGCATGTTTTTCTGAACTTGAATTCAGTGCAACCTTGAAGTGTACACTGACTTTCAGGCTTTGTTTCATAACTTTTTATTATAAGTAGATCCAAATGGAGTTTCTATGCTCAGTAGTACTTTGGTTCTCTGCCAAACAAGAAGCATTAAATACTTATGTAGGAGGAAAATTGCACATGACTAGAAGGAAAATATTTTCATGATCCCATAATACAGCCTCGCACTGTGATGTCTCTGTCTTTATAGGGACTGCAATAAGTACAGTACTGCCTAAGAAAGAAAGAAAGAAAGAAAGAAAGAAAGAAAGAAAGAAAGAAAGAAAGAAAGAAAGAAAGAAAGAAAGAAAGAAAGAAAGAAAGAAAGAAAGAAAGATAAAGGCAAGGTAAGTATAAGATTAAATTAAAGTGACATATATGCTGATCTGAGAATAGTGAATATATTGATAGAATGCATATTCAGCCAGCTTCAAAGCAGCATTATGGATTCACCCTAACTGACAAGAGCATCAAGTAACAAATCTGTTTAAAATGAGGGTTGAATTCTGGTTATTTCTCCTATTGCTAACATCTAGGTCACTAAACTGAAGAAATATTTTTTGATTAATCATGTTAATTTTACCTTATTACTCAATTAAATGTGGAATATATTTACATAGATTTGCATGTAAATATATTCTGAAAAAACATATTTGCTTCATTTTGTTTACATATAAAAACTATGATCTTAAATATTTTAAATATCCCCAATATTTATCTACCAGCTTTTTAAATGTTTTGTTTAGCATTATTTATATATAAATAAATAAATAAATAAAAAAATAAATAAAAAACAAACAAACACTGAAGTTAGAGTGATATTGTATAGCTAGTATATGGCCACATTTTTTTCCCTTTAGAACAGATTTCTGTTGTATATTATCAAACTGGTGGTTTAAAATGTAATCACAAGCCAATCATCTAAAATCAGCTGATCCTGGTTATCTATAGCTTGAAGCAACAGTTGGCCCATTAATTATATTGGAATTTTAGGCCTCCTATACAATGGCCTTTCAAATGTAAACATTCCTTTTTCTTTACTCATAATGTTCAGCAGACAGGTCCATCGACCTAAACTGCTACCCATGCCTTTCCAATTGTTAGATGCCTCAATTGGATTCTAACTAGGTACTAAAACTCCAAGTGCCTCTCTTAAATGCTGCAGGGACATTTGGCATCATTATTTTGTACCAAATTGTACTTTGGGATCAAAGTGTCAATCTAATAATGATTTAAGGTTAAGAAAAAATAATTTGCTTATATTAGATTGGTAAGTTCATGACAACAGAAAGATTTGAACCAGGAACTTCTTAGTTCATACTGTACATCTAGTCACTGCTTTAAGCCTACTTAGTACACATTTAGAATTTCTAAAAATGGAAGATACTTCCCTGCAATGTTTTTGGGACCATTTTTTTTTGGCAGTTATTGAAATTACATGCTTTTAAAGTGGGAAAATGTACCCTATTCATTCATAAATACATCTTTTTTCTCATTAAATCATTTTTCAGAAAAAATGTGCAATCTAAGATTTGCTGTAATTTAGGGAAAATATTAGACTTCAGTAGGAATATTGATTAGTGTATTATGTGAACAAAGCTATTTTGTTAATGTAGATTTTTTTATAACTCAGAAGATGGTGGTATTTTCATATCATGGGTGCTTCCAGATGAACAGTTCATAGTGCTATTAATCAAAAGGGCTTATGTAGCTATTTGCATGTTTCCCATTACTTCTATCTTTTCTCCTGACACAAAGAATTAATTATAAAAAGAAATATTGAATGATTACAAATGGAATATATCTCTGTATAGTTCCACTCATCCTATACAATTCTTTGTACTATTAGACAAAGCACTGAACAATGAATGTTTCATCTTAAAAGCACTGCATGTTTTTTACAACAACAAAAAAGACTCCCTTGAGTCAAGCTCCCACTCCTTATGATTAGATGGACATGTACTTTTTTGGGCAGCATTATGGAAATGGTTTGCCATTGCCTTCTTTCAGGATTTTTCTTTTTTCTTTTCTTTTTGCTTCCCAATCTATAGCTCTGGGAATTCCTGATGATCTCCAGTACTAACCAGGTCTGGACTCTGCTTAGCTCTTTTTGAGATCACACAAGCTCAGCTAGGTGCAGCCACTTGCTGTGGTGAAGATAACTATAACTGAATAGAAAATGGTAGAATAAATGGAATGGGTGGAATCCAACATTGTGCTAGTAGACAATCGGATTTTCTTCATTTCTCCTTTTCTTTCAGCCACTTGCAGACCCTCGAGATTTGCTTTGGTTTCACTCAAAATACCCATAATTTTTTATTACTTGTTAAGCACAATTATTTATGAATGAATGGTTATTTATATATACTTCATTACATATTCTACCCTTCTCAACCCTAAAAATTATATCTGAGTGTTTAAAATCAACTGTGTAGCAATCCCATTTAAATAATAATACAGAGTGAATTATGCTAAAATCACATAACATTTGAACCAGTAAAATAAAACAGTATTTTAAAATCTGACTAAATAAAGTATGGTGCCCCAAAATTAAATGAGTTATTTCCAGCTAAGCTTTTCTGGGAAGTGAATGCCAGAGACTGGATCCTATTTGTCTTGGGTTATCATCGACCTTAACTCATTGATGATAAAAAGTTTTCAACATTTTTATTCATGACTGGGATTAAGTATGCTTATCAGGTTTGCATGTGGCACAAAATTGGGTGGAATAGCTAATATGCTAGAAGATGAAATCAAAATTATAATGGGTTAGAAAAGTGGGCTGAAATTAATCAAATGAAATTTAACAGAAACAAATGCAGAGTTCTTCATTTAGGAAGCAGAAATCAACATGCATAGGTAAAGAAAGGAAGATACTGCTGATGAAAAAGACTTTGGATTAGCGGTTGATTATAAACACAATATAAGTCAGCAGTTTAATGTCACTGCAAACGAGCAAATATAATTTTAGATTTTGTAAGCAGAAGTATAATTGTCAAATAGTGGGAAATAATAACTCCACTTTATTGTGCACTGTCTGTTCTGTTCTCAAGTATTGTGTCCAGATCTAGACACCACACTTAAAGAGTCAAAGGAATTGGAGCAGGAGTAGAGAAGAGCAGGCTGGATGATAAAGTGTCTAGAAACTAAACTTTACAAAAAGGAATGGAAAGAAGTGGGAATATTTAGATTTGAGAAGAGGGCTCTTTCTCACAGCCATGTTAATGTGCTTTCCTCCAATTCTTGTCAAGGATTCTATGCATTCTATGAACAGCTGTCATTGTCAAGCCCTATTCTGCCTCAGTGAATCTCTTACAAATTTAATGCGGAACAAGTTAAGGAAAGCTATTGGTGGATTCCCCTGTCCTTGCCTGTCAGTGGGAAAAAAGAACCAGCAGTCAGTCTCTCTAATGGAGGAGGCAAATCTGACAAATGGCTAGGCCCAGGAGTTTACCATCTTTCAGAACCTGATCCTGAGAGAACTGATCTGTTGCATGGAGTGGGGAGCTGCCTAGTAAGACAAGTGATACTTTCTTGCTTTACTGGGAAAATCCTCCTTTTCCACAGACTAATTCCAGTATCCACTTTTGGAAAAGCAGGAAAAGTAGCAGGAAAGAGGGATTGACAGATGTTGGGTTGGCTTCACTTTCATCACTCTACCCCCAATCCCCAATATTCAGGTTGGCTAATAGGCATTGCTGGCAGGAAATCAGTTTTCATCCACCATGGCTCTGATCATACAAATCAGTTCTGTGAAATCAAAAACTGGTGGCTAAAGAGTTGCCCCTTCTCCACCTGATCTTGCCACTTCTCTCAGTCCTATTTCCAGGCCTGAAGTGATGACAGGAGAAGTGGGGAATCATGGCTCTGTAGCCACCAGCCTCTGATGGTATACAGATAGTCCCCAGTTTAAGAACAAGTTCCATTCCCAAGGTCTGTCCTTAAGTCAAATTTGTATATAAGCCGGAACAGTATTATTATACCCCAGTTTAAGAACAAGTTCCATTCCCAAGGTCTGTCCTTAAGTCAAATTTGTATATAAGCCGGAACAGTATTATTATACCCCAGTTTAAGAACAAGTTCCATTCCCAAGGTCTGTCCTTAAGTCAAATTTGTATATAAGCCGGAACAGTATTATTATATAATACTGTATAAGTAGTATTGTGTAATGAACTCAAACTATTATGTATTTAACTCAAATTTTGCTACAATAGGCTCCATTCTTAACTATGGCTCGTCCTTAAACTTCAGAGATCAGAATGGCACCTTGAATGGTTCTTGGAAGCAAACCAGAAATCAGCACAATTGCTGAAAGACTGGGGTGTGTGAACTGCTACATCTGAATCTGATTACAAGAAGAAAAATAATTGGATGTCATTAGTATTCCTCAGTTATATTGTGAGATGGTTATTGCAGGTCTCTCTGGAGGCTAATGTCACAACCACATCAGGGTACTTCACTCTGAACTTTAGGTGCGCTGAACTACTGCTCCAGTCAGTGATTTGGAAGGTTACAGGGTAATAGCTGGGCCCCAATTCATTACCTGTCTTGCTCTCTTATCTGAAATTGCTGCTGTATTCTGTCTTCAGGCTGGCTTAGCATTCTCCACTCATAGTGGGTAGCAGCACCTAACCAACATGGACTGATCTTGAAAGAACAAAGCAAGGTTTGACTTGGTTAGAACTTGAATGGAAGACCAGCAGGAGATTCCATGGATGTAGTACAGATTGAGAAATCAAAAAGAAGGTGGTGAGATTGGTAAATCACTTCCCTATCATGCCCCTCCTCCCCAAATCCAACATGCTCTCCCCATGTAATCATTAAGAGTAAATTTCATCTTGAAGGACACTTACTTTTTTATGTGTTTGAGGCAATGGAATAATTGAAGGGGTCTAGAACAACTTGTGTGGCGTACAAAGGTCTATCTTCAACAGAGAGAAGCAGTTTGAAATTTTAGGCCATTTCGCCTTGAATTACTTACAACTTCTTCTAGAGCCATCCAGCCACTTTCCTTAAACTGGGCCCAACTATGACTGGCTAATGCTAAAAGATGCTAGCAGACAACAGTGGGAAAATGGTCTTAGGGGAACCAGCCATAGTGGAGCTACCTTCTAGCACATATTGCCGTATCAAATTACCTCATTCTGTTTAATGTTAGAGCTCAGTAGTAGCTGACTTTGGGGAGTGACTAACTAAGACTGGGCTACGCAGGCAGATAATTGATTATGGCATAAATAATTAATGACCTAATCTGTGTTTTAAGGGAGGAATATAATATAGGCCTGAGAACCTTTATTTTACATGCTGTATGTGGGCTGCAAATTCCAGACCATCATTGGATGGCAGCAAAGTGATAGCATTTTCTGTATAGCTCTGTTGCCATCCAGCGATGGTCTGGATTTTTGCAGCCCATGTGTAGTGTGCCTAATCCATATCAAATAGAAAAAATGATGCATAGAAATGCATTAGAAACAGTAGACACAATCCTATTAGCCCTTCAATTTAATGGGATGCCAAGCTTCCCTGTCTGATGAAGGCTTCCCTTTCTGTTATGTTAATAATACCTTTTATATAAGCAACTGATTGATGTTCTCCCAAGGTTCTTAGCATTAATTTACTTATCTATCGTGTGTCTATTGCAGCTCCCTATAGAATGGATGATTTCTGCCTATTGCTGCTTTTTTCTTTGAACATGCTGATCTTGGAAAGCTGCTCCTTGTGTATGGATGTGTATCAAGAAAGGGACTACAGGTTGTCCCCAGTTTAAGAATGAGTTCCATTCCGAAGGTCTGTCCTTAAAAGTCGAATTTGTATGCAAACTGGAACAGTATTATTGTATAATACTGTATGAGTAGTATTGTGCAATGAACTCGAACCATTGTGTATTTAACTCCAATCATTGTGTATTTAACTCAAATTTTGCTACAATAGGCTCCATTCTTAACTATGGGTCGTCTGTAACCCAGGTGTTCTTAACCCAGGGTTTACTTGTATTAATAAACTTTGATCAGAGGAACAGAATAAATTTATCCGTATTACAGGTTTATTTACACTGGCTATTTAAGTTCAGAAGTACTTCTGCTAAAGCTATTCCAGCATTCAGTTATTTAACTCAAATTTTGCTACAATAGGCTCCATTCTTAACTATGGGTCGTCTGTAACCCAGGTGTTCTTAACCCAGGGTTTACTTGTATTAATAAACTTTGATCAGAGGAACAGAATAAATTTATCCATATTACAGGTTTATTTACACTGGCTATTTAAGTTCAGAAGTACTTCTGCTAAAGCTATTCCAGCATTCAGTTAGAATGGAATAACAGGCATTTTTTTAAAAAAAATTCATGTAGACAGAGTTAAAATAAAATGTTGATATGAATGTAGGCAATTTTAGTTCTGAACAACTTATTTGTTTCATCTTTCTTTTGGATACGGTTGAATTCACACAACATGCTAAGCTAAAATGTGGTTCATTCAGTGTGAATGTGTGTGCTGCAAATGCATCCCACGTGGTTAGTTTATAATTTGATGTGTTCTGTGAATCCAAGGAGTTGAATTAATTCAATAAATCATGACTCTGTTATACAGTAGTTAAGACTCTTGTGTGAACACAGAGCCTTCCTCCAGGTCTGGGAAATGCCATCATTTATGCTCAGCAACTCTCACAAAGGAATTTGATGTGCTTTCTTATTAAACTACTCATGAGACTTTAAAAGCTTTCATTGTATAAGCCATTCTTTGGTTGAAAAAAATAGTGGATCTGTAATACTGACTATGTTCACAAAACATGCAAAGTTTGATTAATTTTAATCTTGATTAGTTTTTTGTGGCTTAGTGTGTTCTTTAAACCCAGATGGTGAAGTTTATTGTTCAGCATGCCTTGTGAATACAGAAAACTGAACGTAGTAAACCATAGTTCATTTAGTCTCTGGTAAGCTGTTGTATGAAGTCAGTCATAGTAGGATTAGTTAAAACATTTGATTTTATCATAATCCATGCTATTGTCAGATTTTATGTAACCTTAAAATTGTAATGTTTTAAGATTGTGTGAGATCTGGATCTCATACAATCACATATGCAGGAAATCGCTTACATCAGAAGCTTCATAAACATGACACAGCTAGATAAATTATTTTACTGCAGACATGAAAGATGTTATCTATATACCAAAGATCTGCCTGCTGCAGAAATGAAACTTACTTTCTAGCTTCAGTGCTAAAGGTTATATACAGTCATGGTATTGATTTGCATCTATAATTTCACAATGATGAAATGTAGCTACATAATGAACTGAGTTAATATGGGATTTGTTTTTAATCTGTTATTCTGAAAAATAGTTTGGGATTTCATTACATAAACAAACAAAAATAATCCAAAGCAATGTTTATTTTGATAGATGTCTAAATGAAGGCCTGATTTATACATTCTGCTAAAACATAATCTGTATGATTTATTAGTTTCTTGTATGACCATTGTGGTTTTCAGACGATGACACTTATTTTTCCCTAGCTTTTTATAGTAATTGTTAAATAATACTGCAAAATAAAAACAATTCATTAAGCAAGCAAAAATTAGAGGGACTTAATGACTGGGAAAGGCCCCTCCTCTACTGCCCCCCAGAAATGGCTTTTGAAAGATGCTTGTAACATACCAGTGTTAATGCCTGCCATACTACAGAGGGTTCTGGTGTATCACATTTTTGACCAGATTTTTCTTCTCCTCAGTTGTTGCTCACATTTCTTTTCTCTACAAATCTGGTATAAAGACTCACACATCAATAAAGTTGTTATGTTTAAAACCATAGCTTGTTGACAAAGCCACAATTGGTTGGGTTCACACAGCCTATTGAAACAAAATCAAGTAAAACTACTTTATTTATTTATTTAATTTTGGGGGTGCCTTCAAATCAGTTTTTGACTCCTTGTGACTGCCTGGACTAGTCTCTCCAGTTTTTTTGGCAAGGGGTTTTGGAAGTGGTTTGCCATTGCCTCCTTCTGAGGGCTGAGAGAGAGGAACTAGCCCAAGGTCATCATCCAGCTGGCTTCATGCCCAAGGCGGGACTAGAACTCAGGGTCTCCCAGTTTCTAGCCTGATGCCTTAACCACTATACCACTGGTTCTCAAAACAACATTATTTGTTCATTATTTTTAATAATAATAACGTAATATTTGTTATACTGCTAACTATTGAAGTAATGATGGACCAATCCAGGCATTCTGTGAAAATGAGAAGCTGAGTATTACACATACTGCTTAGAAGTAAACTCTTTTGAACTCAGTGGTATATTCACTCACGAACAGACACTATTGCACTGAAGCCTTTTAGCATTTGGAGCTGGCATAGTGTGATAGAAGAAGAATTTCTTAACATACCTTCCAGAATAGGCTAGGTTCTAATGTGACAGGGAGTGGTTAGGCAGATATAATGAAGTAGAGAAACTGATAAATGTGACATAGAAATGAAGGTTGGAGGATTAATAGGGTGATCTATGTTCCTACTCAGAAGCAAATGTTACTGAATTCAGAAGGATTGCAATCTTAAAAAACAAACTCCTATTTTTCTTTTTGTTGTTGTGCTGCAGGTTCTCTAATCTCAATTTCACCATTGTCCATGCTGACTGGTCATGATGGGAATTATAATCCAACTTGTTTGATGAGCACCAAAGGGAAAGACTGCTTAGAGGATTGCATTAGGATGATGGACAGTACAGCAGAAGAGGAATGATTGTTTCTAACTTCAGTTTTCAAAAGGATAGGCTACGTAACAATCACATGGAACAGTAGGCAAGTCTATTCTCTCAAAATGTTTTGTTAACTTTTTCTTTAAGTTTAAAAGGTCACCAAGTGCCGTAGGCATTGCAGAAAGAGAAGTATGGATTGTCATGAACGGGCACTGTTCCATGATACTGGTGCAGAGTGATCTCACGTAGCATATGCAAGAGGAAGAGATATATGAACACACACATGCACACACACCTCTGTGCCCCCCCCACACAAAGAGTTCTGCCAGTCAGAAAATAATGCAATGTGAATGCAAAGAGAATTACATATATACACGCACTGTTAATTTTTGGACATATTTGGGCACATCTGCTTGGATTATTCTGTGTTAAAAATGAATGAACATTGTTTCAGATTAGCTCTAGTGCCCCATCTGCAGATGAATAGCAATACTACTTACAAATATACTGAGGTTTTTTTTTTTTTTAATAACAAGGCTTTGTGGGCTTTGGCCTGACTGTCCCCGCAGCCAGTCCCACCCAACATTCACTATTTGCTTAAGCAAGCCATCCCTAGCCCAGGGCTCTTCAAATGTGTAATTTTGTCTTTTTTACCTTCTGCTGGCACTTCTACCTCCTATTTCATTTCTTAATTTGATTCATTCACATTTCTAAAAATATTAATTATGCTCAATCAACTAACAAAGACATTGTAGGGTAAAAGAGAGCAGCAAGTAAAAATTCACGAATAAGGGTTTTTTTTGCAATGGAAAGCTCTAACAAATTCCCCCTTTCCCCCGATTTACACTGAAGGTTTGGGATCAGTGCTTTTTTTTTTCAAGTTTTATTTACAAATTATAAGGGAAAAAAATGACAAAACACCTAAATACATTAAAAACCATGCACAATTAATAAAACAACCTTAAAAAAAAAAAAGAAACCAAAGGGAAAGAAGAGGAAAAAAAATTAGAAAAGAGCAACCCCAAGCAAACTAAGAGAGAAAACAAAACAAAACAAAAATCTACCTTATATTTTATATTTATCAATAGTCACTGGTTTACTAATAATACACTACTACAATATGATCAGTACAAAATATTATTGTAAAAGCTTTTTCATTTTTAATCATTGATCTGTAATTAGGAAAAAACAAAGAATTGGTAAAGTTTTCAGAGGACAGTAAAATATTCTGAATTATTAAAAAAAAAAAAAAAAGGAATTATGAACAACTCCAAAGGCTCCAAACTAGTTAAATGAGCATTAAATGGTAAATGTACTTCAGGATAAGCAAGCAGAAAATTATTTATATTAGGGCCAATATAGCCTAACTTCAGGTATATTCTAATGGGGGTTAAACTCCTGCTGACTAACCAAAAAAGGGATATGATGGTTCTAGTATTTAGTTTATTGAAAGTTTAAACTCACTATTCTGTAGCTCTGGGCAGAAACAAAGGTGAATTCCATGTTGGGAATCATTTGATGGCAATTCAAAGTCTATGTTGTGATTGTGTGTGTGTGTGTGCGCGCGCGCATGCCTTCACAACAGTCTTCACTCCTGATCACTGCCTGGACAAGTCCCTGCAGTTTTCTTGGCAGGATTTCAGACGTGATTTGCCATGGCCTCCTTCCTAGGGCTGAGAGAGAGTGACTGGCCCAAGGTCACCCAGCTGGCTTTGTGCCTAAGTCAAGATTAGAACTCACAGTTTCCTGGTTTCTAGCCCAGAGCCTTTAACTACTAAATGCAACTGGCTTTCTACTATGATTGTACTTGGAATACATTGTACACTTTTGGCTGCCTCATTTCAAAAACAGTATTGTAGAACTGGGAACAAGTACAGAAAATGGCAACTGATATAATCCCAGGTCTAAAGCAATGAGGGAAACTCACAAGATTTTGGAGGCTGTAGGGTTGCAAGATCTGGGCTACAAAAATTCAGATGACCATCAGGAGGCAAAGATTTGTTTGTATCACTTTTCTGCAATCTAGTGGTAGTCCGGATTTTTGCAGCACAAATCTGGCCCATTAAGGGTTTGTGTGTGTGTGTGTGCATGTGTTTCACATTAAAAAGGCCTGTAAGGGAAACTATGATGGTTGATGCATTGCAGAAAAATAGTGGTTAAAGATAAGTTTTTCTTTGTAATATTTGAAATCATCCAATGAAGCAAAACCACAGTAGATTCGGGACAAAGGTCCTTCACAGAACACTATGTTGTGGAATTTGTTTATTATAATATAGCAGCCCTGCTTTCATGCCATACTTATCGATGGTTGGGTTCACACAACCTAGCTAAAATGTGGTTGTCTAGTTTGCAGTCCAGTATGAGGTGCAGACATCGCCTTAGTGATGGCTTTAAAAAGGAATAAAACCAGGTCAAGACATTTTGCAATTCTAGAGGAAGGAGAAAATGGTGCCTCTTTCTGTTCCTATACAGAAGCTGATCATACTGAATGCTGAATATTATTTCTGTATTGGAGAGAAACAGTGCCCTCCACTATATCTGAACAAAGTAAATCAAAACTTAAAAACCACGGAACAATTACATTTTTACATGTCAGTGACATGACAGTATGTGTCAGCCAAGGAAACATTCCTAGGGAAAGCTTGATTTCTTTCTCTTTCTTTCCCTCTGTTTAAAGAAAGAGCAATTTCTGGAAGGATTTTCTTAACAAGGTCAGCAGAATGGTGACTGAAGCAGAAAAAAGTTCCAAGCCAATTAATTAAACTTTTCTTGCTATTTTACAAATATAACTGACAGAGAAAGACCAAATCTATGAAGAAATCAAAACACACCACAATTCAGTGAATGGCTCCTAAGCATAAAAATGCTTCTGTTGCCCTTTATATTGAGTTAAATAAATAATTATAAGAGGGATTTATGTGCTGCATTTATTAAAAAAAAACAACACTTGTCAGAAGCAACTTCTTCCGTGTGCATTTTCTGATCCATCAGTTGTATATTTCTTTCAGCAAAGGCCATTGTGTTTTCAAAGAGGGAAATTTGGCTAAGTATCTATTCTCAAGGAAGAAGCATAGATCTGGAGGGCTGAGCTTAGCCTTTAATTACAAGTATTATTTCCATTGGCTGTGCTTATGTATGATTAACTGAGCTATAGTTTATGTAATTCAATTTTCAGGATACAGGTAGTCCTTGCTTAATGACCGTTCATTTAGTGACTGTTTGAAGTTACAATGGTGCTTAAAAAAGTGACTTACAACCAGTGCCTGAAGTTATGACCATTGCAGCGCCCCCCCGGTCACATGATCACGATCCAGGCACTTGGCAACCAGCTCGCAGTTATAGTTGCAACATCCCGGGGTCACATGACTGCCATTTGTGACCTTCCCAGTCACCTTCCAGAAAGCAAAATCAATGAGGAACCGCATGATTCACTTAACAACATGATGCACTTAACAACTGGTGATTCGCTTAATGACCATGACCAAAAAAGGTAATAAAATTGGGTCTGGTCATGTGATGATTCACTTAATGACTGCATTGTTTAGCGACCTAAATTCAGGTCGCAATTGTGGTCGTTAAGTGAGGAGTATCTGTGTATAAAATACCGAAAAATGAAGTACACATGCTGGGTTTGCACAACACATTAGGCTAAAATGTGGTTAGTGGGGAATTCTGGGAGTTGAAGTCCACACATCTTAAAGTTGCCAAGTTTGAAAAACACTGGTCCAGATTGTGTGAAGAGAGCCAGTCTGGTGTAGTGTTTAAGGCCCCAGGTTAGAAACCAGGAAACTCTGAGTTGTAGTCCCACCTTAGGACATATAAAATACCGAAAAATGAAGTACACATGCTGGGTTTGCACAACACATTAGGCTAAAATGTGGTTAGTGGGGAATTCTGGGAGTTGAAGTCCACACATCTTAAAGTTGCCAAGTTTGAAAAACACTGGTCCAGATTGTGTGAAGAGAGCCAGTCTGGTGTAGTGTTTAAGGCCCCAGGTTAGAAACCAGGAAACTCTGAGTTGTAGTCCCACCTTAGGACAAAAAAAGCTTGATGACTTTGGGCCAGTCACTCTCTCTCAGCTACAGGAAGGAGGCAATGGCAAACCACTTCTGAAATCTTACCAAGAAAACTGCAGGGAGTAGACCAGGCAGTCACAACAGTGACTTGAAGCCATGATAGATAGATCAATAGATAGACTGAGCATGACCAATGTACTTCTCACATAAGACTCTAGACTTCCTTTTTGCTCCTAGAGGGCCCCTGGCCTTTTTCTTCTCAGCCTTCTGTACCTTTTAGATGTGACTTTCTACCCATGCTCATTTCTTGCACATAAGAAAGTTCTTATTTATTATTTGTTTGTTTTTTCTTTTCTCTAAGAGGCTCCATTTCCCCAATTTTGTTCTTAAAACATAGCTACATGGTGAAGTAGCCTAGGATGAGAAGAACAGACTGATACAATATATTATCTGATTGAGAGCAGATTTGAATCTGGAGCTTTCAAGTCACAAGTTAACATTCTAACCAGTATACAATTTTCTCCAACCTGGACACCTTCCAGATGTGTGGACTTCAATCCTGAAGCTAAGTTCACACCTTATTTTAAACCAGAATTTTTAAAAACAACTGCTTGTTCAATAAGCATGATTGGCCTAATTTCATTGTTGTGTTAAACTGTAATTAATGGATTTATGCATCATGCTAAGCCAAAATCAAATAAATTATATGAAGTGCATATAACAAGCACATGAAACTTCTTGTTTTGCTCACCAACCTGATTTTGAAAGCTTTACTTACCAGGCAAGTTGTCTGTGCAGGTAAAACTGACAGGTCAATCATGATTGATGATGACTTCACCTTCTTACTGTGGAGGATGCAAATGACTGGAAAAGCAAACTGGTGACCTGGAAAACAAGCTTAGATTAAGAAATGTTGTGTCAATAGGCAAAAGAAAAGGAACACACAGAGGAAAATACAAAGATACTTTTGTCACAATGGATTATGACAAGGGGGGAAGGGAGATTAAAACTTTTACCTCCCTCTTTGTGATGGGTATGAATCTGTGAGAAGGATGTCAGACAACCAAAATGTGAAGATTCTCTGTTGGCTTTTATCCCACATAAGTGCTGTTGACTTTCATACAATTCATCTGGATAGTTTAATGGGGCAGAAGTCCCAAACTGAATACACAGCTATTTAAATTTGTTTTGTGTATACACTTTAAAAATGATCACTATTTTCATATTTCATAAATGGAAACCTGTGTGGATTAAAACAGAATAACTTCATTATATTCTATTCTGGAATTACATTCCTAGAAAATGCTCCAGACCTCACCAGTCCTACTTGGTTTCTGTTCAACATTCTCTTAGTGGGGAGATAATTTCTGATAGAACATCTCCTTGATTCTAGTCCAGTTTATTGGTGAGTAGAAATAGAGTCAGTGAGTTCAGTGGTCAGTAAGTTCAGGTGTTTATAGGCACTACTGTAGACATTTTCAGCAAAAGTAATCTCCACTGAATTCAATGAGCTAGTGATTCTAGGAAAGTAGACCAGCGCAGCCCAAATGGATAATCACTTCTTCATCTGATCTGTCTGTTGTGGTTTTGTCTTCTCTGACTAAAGAGTTAAATCACAAACATAATTTAAGAGGGAATCCTTAAGAAGAGCAGAAAAATTATAGTTCTATAACTAAGATTAGGAAAAAAGAGGGGAAAGAATAAAAATAGTCTCTAGTTTCAGCATCAGTATGTAGAAATGAATTAAAAAACACATATATTTTAGAAAGTTTTATTGTACGGAAGTATGCATCTGAGCACATCTGAATTATATTTCTACTGGGAATACTGCCCAGAAAATACTCAGTATGAGCCTATAGTATTCATAAGTCAAGCTACTGAACTATTAACTTGGGCACCTTGATTT